TATATGTATATATATACATGCCTATATATATATATATGCACGATCTGTGGTTCTCATGTTGCGAGCGCAAACTTTAAAATGCATTAAGTGCCATGCAATTAAGTTTATCGATGCGCTCGAATCAGCCAACTTGAATTTAATCTTGTTTCCTTCTTTTTTTTTGTTGATGTTGTTGTTGTTGTTGCTTCTTTAGACTTCTTGGTTTCTCTTTCGTGGCAGCTTTATAAATTATACATTATAAATGCCGACGCGTTACTTTTTTTTTCGATTTTTGTCGATTTTTTTTTTTTGGCAACTTTATAATTTTGCCTGTGCTGTTGCCGCCCCTTCATTTGTTGCAAGTTTGAGCATTTTGTGAGGCGCTCTGTAATTAATAAACACCTATGCTAAGGTAACGCCTGCTCATCGAAAACGAAAAACTAAAAATGTTAATTGCCAGCAGGAGTTATGTTAAGTTAACATGTAGGGAATACTTTGGGATAGATTTTCAGGGACAAATCTCCAAGTGTTTGATATTCGATTTTGTACTTTGCCTAGAAACAAGCAGATGTTAGCTGATCAATGAGAAGATAGAAAGCCCTTTCAATTAACATAGCTATGTTATGCTTAACATAAGGCATTAACTGTTAATAGAACATGTTAATGTTACATGATGATTATGCATAGAATAGAATTATCAAGGTAAAAAATTCCTTAACAGTTGTCTATAATGTCAACAGAAGTGTTCCACAGCAATGTTAACGAGCTGTTATATGAATATCTGCATATGAATTCAATTCCAATATTGAACAGCTGTAACATAATTATGTTAAGCAGCTGTGTTACATCTATGTAGGTGCATCTGCATCGTGTGCTGCATTATTTCAAGTTCGTTGCTAAAGTCTTTTGTTTATGCACTTGTAGTAAATTCGTTGCAGAGAATTGCAGCAACATTTAACTTAACATTAACCCAGTAATTTTCAAATTGAATGACACAGCACAGCCTTGCACACACACACATACACATGTATATAGATATATCACCTGCCACGCCTCCCCGCTTACCAGCTTTCAGCAGCTGCAGCACAGCCTACACAAATTGTTGTAACTGTTTTTGCAGCCACTTTTCAAGGTCAAAATTGCAGTGCATACGAGTTGAAATACTTGAATAGCACTTGATATGTGCAAGTGTCTGAGTGTGTGTGTGTGTGTGTGTGTGTGTATGTGTGAGTTGAGCTATCGACAGCATCCAAATGCCAGCGCTTTGATAGATCGAAGCTGCAGATGGGCATCGTCAACAAAGAATTGAGATACAGCTCAGCTGCCGTTGCTTGAGTTAGCTCAACTTGGCTTAGCTTTCAAGCGCGCAGCGCGTCTTAAATTGCAAACCACATGCTCAACAACAGCAGCAGCAGCAACAACAACAACAACATGTGCTACGTTTTGTGCAGCTGCTAATTACAGTTGTTTTTTTTTTTCTTTTTTATATATATATTTTTTAATTCTTTTTTTTTTTTTTCATTTGCCGCCGCATTTTAGCTTTGTGCTTCAATTTGTTTGTTTGTTTGGCTTTTTTTCTCTCTATGACTTTTTTTCATAGCTATTTTTTTTTAAGTGTTCTTTGCGGTATTAATGTCAATGTTAACCTTGCTCTGTTTCATTTTGCCTCGTTAACTCGTTTACATTGTTTATTAATTGGCCGAAGCATTTAATTTATCTAACGATTTAGCTGTATTTCGCATACCCTGCAGCTGCTAATAGGCAATGACGCTGTTTGCCTTTCATGCTTCTTAGAGGGTATTTTTCTTTCATATTTACTCTATCGATGACTTTTTAGAGGAGCTTGTTAAGCTGAAAGCTCTGTTATGTTAGGTTTTACCGTTGTTATGTTAAACAGCTGTTATAGAAAAGTAGAAAAAGTAGCACGCTTATATTCTGTTAAGCAGCTGTTAAGAATTTGTTGCAAGCAATGAAATTCTGTTCAAAAACTGTTAAGCTCATGCCAAGAGCCTAATCATACCTAACAGATGTTCATATTGGCAGGAATCTAACCTCTGTTAAGCAGATTTTGGCAAGATGTGCCACTATGTAAGAGACTATAAATTGAATATTTGAATAATTTCAGTTAAGTTAAGTGACCATTTGTAGTGTTTCACCTTCTGTTAAGC